GAGGCTCTTAATGAAGAAATAAAAAATTCCCTCAAAGAAATAGAGGAAAAGACAAACAACAATTGGGAGAAATCAATAAATCCCTTTAAGAAAGCCAAGAACACCAAGAAAAAACAATCAAACAAATGAAAGAAACAGTTCAAGACTTGAAAATTGAAATAGAGACAACAGAGAAAATACAAACCGAGGGACTTTTGGAAATGGAAAATATGGGTAAACAAACAAGAACTGTAGATGCAAGCATAACCAACAGAATACCAGAGATGGAAGGGAGAATCTCAGGCATTAAAGACACAATAGAGGAAATAAATTCATCAGTCAAAGAAAACATTAAATCCAACAAATTCTTAACAATAAGCGTCCAGAAAATCTGGGACACCATGAAAAGACCAAACCTAAGAATAATAGGGATAGAAGAACAACAGATTAAAGGCACAGAAAATATATTCAACAAAATCAAAGAAGTAAACTTTCCCAACCTAAAGAAGGATATGCCTATTAAGGTACAAGAAGCTTACAAAACACCAAACAGACTGGACTCAAAAAAAAAATCCCCTCTCCATATAATAATAACACTAAACATACAGAATAAAGACAGAATATTAAGAGCTACAAAGAAAAAAGGCAAAGTAACATATAAAGGAAGACCTATCAGAATAACACCTGACTTTGCTGTGGAATAATGCTCTTGTATCCTTGAAAGAACAACACTCATCTTCATATGGAAAAACAAAACACCCAGGATAGCCAAAACAATCCTGTAGAATAAAGAAACTTGATAAAAGAGTAGATTATTGAATCTACTCTGAAAGGAAAGTGCAAATTTCTAGTACTTGAAAATTATTACCAACTGTTCAAGATAATAAGAAAATGCAGGTTAGTAGTTAATCATCAATTATAATCGAACATTAGGTATGTTTTCAAGGTCAGATATATTTTAGATAGACAGGTCGTCTTCAAACACTCCAGAGATCTACAGAATATGACATTTAAGATGTTTTAATAACATAGGCTCCTTTTTTTTAATGACAATGAGACATGTCGGCTCCAGGCAGCACAAATCTACTTCAGAGAAGATGATGGGAAGTGAAAAAACTCCACATGAAGCTTACTTTCTTTAGGACAAAGTAAGTCACTGGGCAAAAAAAGGTCCTTGCCTCAGCTGCTGAAAGTATGCTATCCTATTGGACAAGCAGGATACAAAACAAAGTGACTCTCAAACACTGCAGAGACAAGGAGGAACAGTCCTTCAGAAAATCCTTTTTCACAGAAAATCTGTCAGATATACTAGGAATGTAGGCCAAAGATGGATGCCCCAATGTTGTTGTGGAACTGTGGGTGACTGTCTAGGCAGTCAGCTGTTTCTATCATTTTTCACATTTTTGGACGTCACTGGTTTGCACTCCCTGCTTACTCAGTTAATAATATTTCCTTCTTGGGTCTCTGAGGGAGTTGAAGACTAGATAGTTATGGTTATAGTTTTCCTTGTTTACCAGATGCAGAAAGTAAATTATGATAGAACATAAATTAGGTACAAGACTTTGAACTCACCAAGATAGGATATATATGGAGTATTTTCTCTGAATTTGTCAAAATAAAAATGGACATTGTTGATGCATTTATTGCCTGTATATATTGAATATAATTAATGTGCTTACTGAATATAGCTTTTCTTTCTTTTTTTAAAGCCCCCTTTTTTTAAGATTTATTTATTTATTTATTTTATGTATGACTGCTCTATCTGCATGTACACCTTTATACCAGAAGAGGACATTAAATCCCACTACAGATGGTTGTAAGACACTATGTGGTTGCTGGAAATTGAACTCTCAACAGGAGAAACTCAAATGGCTAAAAGACAGTTAAGGATTCGCTCAACATTCTTAGCCATCAGAGAAATGCAAATTAAAACAACTCTGAGATACCATGTTACACCTGTCAGAATGGCTAAGATCAAAAAGACTGATGGTACCTAATGCTGGAGAGGGTGTGGAGTAAGGGGAACACTTCCCCACTACTGGTGGGAGTACAAACCTGTACAGCCATTTTGGAAATCAATATGGCGATTTCTCAAAAAATTGGGAATCAATCTACCTCAAGACCCAGCAATACCACTATCATACCACAAGGATACACAATCATACCACAAGGACATTTGCTCAGCTATGTTCATAGCAACATTATTTGTAATAGCCAGAACCTAGAAACAACCTAGATGCCCCTCAACTGAAAAATGGATAAAGAAAATGTGGTACATTTATACAATGGGGTATTACTCAGCAGAAAAAAACCCTGACATCTTGAAATTTGCATGCAAATGGATGGAACTATAAAAAAAATCCTGAGTAAGGTAACCCAGACCCAGAAAGACAAATAGTATGTACTCACTCATAAATATAATAAATAAAGCAAGGCTACAATCTACAACCCCAGAGAAGCTAGGTAAAAAGGAGGACTCTAAGAGGGACAAACATGGAGGGCCCCAGGAAAGGTAAATAGTTAAGATATCCTGGGTAAACTGGGAGGGGGGATGAAAGGGGATGGGGAGTGGGAACATGAGGGTTCAAGATGGCTGAGTTGGGGAGGGATGGAGAGGGGGAGTAATGAGGGATTATCTTGATAGAGGGAGCCATTATAGGACTAGCAGTGGAACCAGGTCTTATCCTGGGTATAAGAACTGGCCCTTTACAGTCCATTCCCTATGGTGGAATACCTTACATACAGGAGGAAGAGGATTGGTTCTGCCTCAACTTGGTATGCTGGACTTTGCTGGCTCCCCAAGGGAGGCTTTAGAGCCTCTGAAGAGTGGATGGAGGTGAGATGGGGGAGACAGGTGAGTGGAAAAAGGAAAGTAAGGATGAACTGGGGCTGGCATGTAAAATAAAAACAAAATTAAAATAAAAAGAAGAGCTAGTTGAGACAAGCCTAAGCCAAAGGCCGACATTTGTAATTAATAAGACATCTCCGTGTCATTATTTGGAAGCTGGTAGGACAGAGAAAGACTTGTCACATCTATCACCCTTATTTTAAATTCATTACTATTTTTATATAGTTCCTGTATTTTTCTCATACTTATCTCAGAGAAACCATTGACAATGATAATGTCATTGAAAAGAATTTAGTATCACTTAATATTAAAACAACTTCTTTATTAACAGCTACACCCTGCCTGACAAAAGTGGGATTCTATTGATTCTACATCAAAAATATAAATAACTCATGTGTCTCCTCTGCATACCAAAGTATGTAGGCATAAGATTTGGGAATCATAGCACTCTAAAGCAGCAATAAACTACTATTTTAATATCTGTAAATGAAACTAATCATGTCTCTTTTTTTTTGTTTGTTTGTTTTTTAAGCAGGGTATAATAGCCCAGGGTGTCTGCAAGCTCCATATAAAGCTTGGGGCTTTCACACATACACCACTAACCCAGTTTATGCAGTGCTGAGGGATGCTAGCAAGCTGAACAACAGCCCCTGACACTACAGTGCTTTAATCTTTGTTCATTTTTGTCTCTGTTTCTGAAACAGAGTCTGACAAGCATTACTGCTGATTAGGTTGCCCTTGCATTTGCTGCATTCCTCCCTCCTCCCTGTGCCTCCAGGGAGCTGAGAATTATGAGCAGGTGCCACCACACCTAGTTGTGTTCTTAGAGATCCAAAAACTATTACTAGAATGAAATCTAAAAACCAAATAATTATTACTTGGGAAACAAACATTATTAACTCCTTAAAGATATTTTTCTAATATGAATAATGGTAAAAGTTTTAACATTTTTATAGATGCTGGCTATATTAAATCTGGAAACTACAACTGAACAAGAGAAAACAGAATTTACTTATTTAGAGACAGGGTTTCCCTATGCAGGACTGGCTAGCCTGGAACTTGCTAGTAAATCAGACTGGCCTTGACCTCACAGAGATCTGCTTACTGCTGTCTCCCAAGTGTAAATGTCAGGATTAAAGGGGTGCTCCACCATGTCAGGCTTAAAAATTCCTTTTAAACAATAATTCAGAATTTTGGAACAGTCCGAATTGAGCCAGGTTCACCACTTTCCAGTCTCATTAATCGAGTGCTGAGTAGCACGAGTTTAGGAGTCAAAATAAGTTCTAGGAATTCATGTGGTTGGTAATATAAATATTAAAAAGACTTTGCTTCTAAATGACTAGGAAGCAATTACAAGGCAATGCTCAACGGCAGAACCTTTCAGCACAGACAGAAAGCAGAGAAGCTTCAAGAACAATGGGGCAGCCCTCAACCTTTTTTTCCCAGCTCCATTGTTCACAGCAGAATGGTCACCACATCTTTGGTAGATAAAGTACGCAGTCAGAGTGATGAGCTACGCTTGGTGTCCTCTACCCTTCAGACACTCAAGGATAACCAGAAAGTGAATCAATGTCTTATTACTTCAAAGAATTTTCACAATCTTAACATGTTATCAGAAATACTGTGGCTTGTCTTTTAAGAAAACATAAGACAACTACAGTAAGTACCTACAATTTCCAAGTTTATATCTAGAAAAATGAAAATGGTTCATTTTCAAGAAAATAATGCTTGGGGGCTGTTAATGGTTAAAAGAGCTTACTGCTCTTGTAGAGGACCCAGTACCATCCCAGCTCACATTCATTATAACTCCAGTCCAGGGGACCTGGTGACTTTTCTTTTGTTTTGTTTTTTAACCCCTGTTGGTACCAGGTACATGCATGGTGCACTTACAAACATACAGGCAAAATATTCATATACAAGAGATAAAAATAAATGCTTTAAAAATTTATTTTTAAAAAACATTTAAAAAAATAAAACAATGCTTTGTCACACTGCTTTATCTGAGACAGGCCCCATTATGTAGCCCAAGTTGGCCTTGTATTCACTGTACAGCTTAGCGTAGCCTTAAATTTGGGGTGGTCCTGCTACACTGACCCTCATGTGCTGAGCAGCTAGCCAAGCGCCGAGCGATGCTGTAAGAGCTCTGAAACTGCATGCTCAGATGAGTACTTACCTGCTGAATAATTTTGGATGTTTTCTGAAGATTTTCTCTGGGAGGAACCTTACCAAATAACTTCCATCCAGGAGCGCTATGAACAACTGATTTGAGTTCCTTCGTCCTTTTTGGAAAAAGGTTTCTGAAACACAGAAAGTTTACACAAATTGTTTTTCCATAACCAGGAAACAGTTAAGTAGTAACTTTTAAGTATATTTATTTCTAAAGCAAATTTAAAATACTTTTAAGTAAAATTATTCCTACTACTTATACAAATATTGTTTAGAACAGCATAACTCAGTTAAGAATACCTGACTTATACAGATGTATTAGTAGAATCAGAAATACAGAATTTTTTTTTCCAGGCAAGAGGTCACCCAAGCTGACCTCCAACTACTTATATAGCCTATGACGACAATGAACTCCTGATCCTCCTGCCTCCACCTCCCAAGTACTGGGTTTATAGGCACATGCCACCATGTTGAGTTATTCACAAAAATGCTGACAAACAAACAATAAGGAAAGGTAAAAGGCATAAATTAAATATATTCACTTTAAATTCATGATTCAGATACTTGACTTCAAAAGCCAAGAATCTTTGAGAGATTAAGAGCTTAGGTAATAATATATATGTGTATATATACACACACCTAAATAATCATTTATTTAAAAATAGTTATCCTATTTTGTATATATGTGTTACACGTCTGAATGTATGCATGTGCACCATGAACATGCAGGAACTTCTGGAAGTGAGAAGAGCATTAGAACCCCTGGAATTAGAGACATAGATGGCTATGAGCCACCATATAGTTGGTGGAAATCAAATCTGAGTCCTTTGTCAGAATAATAAGAGCCCTTGAGGACCCTAAGAGAGACATACATGGATCTCCTGAGTAAACTGGGAGCATGGGGGCAATGGGAGAGAGTTGAAGGGGAGGGGAGAAAAAAGGAGCAGAGCAGAGAAAAATGTAGAGCTCAATAAAATTAAAAAAAAAAAGAGCCCTTAATTACCTAGTCATCTCTCTAGTCCCAGGTATTAGAATATTTTGAAAAATTACTATTTAATTACCTTTAGTAATACTTTTTAAAATATTTGTAATAAAAGTACATCTACTGCTGTCCCACCGTTATTAATTGCTTTTCCTAAAACAACTATGTAACAAAGCTTATTGCAGAAAGGCCAGCATGTAATTATGGAAGAAAGTTGTCTCTCATGGAAGATCTAACAAAAAAAGAAGAGGAAGATGAAGTGAGAGAGAGACAAACAATTCACTCATGTGCACAAACCTATCCACACACTTGTATATATGTTTAACAATTTAAAATTAAATATTTTGGGGGAACAGAAGCCAGGAGCAAATCTAGTCCCAGAAGCCAACCCAGTCCCAGGACACTAGCAGATCAGGATTGAGCCAGTAACTAAATCCAGAGTCAGCGATCTCCACCAGAACAGGTTCAACTCTAAGCCAGGGAGTTCTGCAGGAGAGGATCCACCGGGATTTACAGAAACAGGACACAGCCAGCAACCTAAGCCAAAGTAGGCCTGAGACAGCAAACTGCAAGTGAGCAGAGCAAGGCACAGGAGCACTGAGCTATCTCCAGGAACACCGAGTAACCAACAAGGTAACTAGAACTGTGACGCTGACTGTACCACAAGGAACAACCATCTGAGCTTTGGATTCACTGGCACCTAGAAGATATTCAACAGAATCTCAGACAGCCCCAACCACACATATTAGAGGAAAAGATGAATAGAAAAAGGTGAGATCACATGCTATACCACAAAGAGCAACACAACACCAGTAAACCTAAAGACCTTACAAGAGCAAGACCTGAACAACCAAATATGGATTAACCAGAAGAAAATGAACTAAAAAATAACTTGAAGAGAATGTTTGAAATCCTTAAAGATGAAATGAGAAATTCCCTTAAAGAAATTGAGGAAGGGCTAGAAAGATGGCTCAGAGGTTAAGAGCACTGATTGCTCTTCCAGAAGTCCTGAGTTCAATTCCCAGCCCCCACATAGTGGCTCACAACCACTTGTAATGAGATATGATACCCTCTTCTGGTGTGCAGGCTTACATGCAGGTAAAACACTGTATACATAAATAAATATTAAAAAAAAGAAATTGAGGAAAAGACAAACAAAAAATTGGAAGATATCAGCAAATCACTTAAAGAAAATCAAGAAAAAGAAATCAAACATATAAAAGAATGATGTGGGAGTGTCATATATCAATCTGTTGATTTCATTGGTTAAGTTATAATAAACCAACTGCTTGGCCTCAGCTTGGAACATAGATGGGAGGAGTAAACAGAATAGAATTCTGGGCGGAAGAGGAAGTGAGGTCAGACTCTGCTCTGCTTCCGGAGAGAGAGCCGACAGCTCGGGAGCAGAGACGCCATGCTCAGCTCTCCCAGGCAACTCCAACACAGGATGGACATAGGCTAGAATCTTCCCGGTAAGCGCACCTTGGGGTGCTTACACACATCATTAGAAATGGGCTAGTCCAGGTGTGAGAATTAGCCTGTAAGGGCTAGAGTTCATGGGCCAAGCAGTTCTTAAATGAATACAGTTTGTGTGTTGTTATTTCGGGCATGAGCTAGCCAAGCAGCCGGGGTGTTGGGGACGCAGCCCCGCCGCTCTTATTTCAACAAAAGAAACTATTCAGGACTTGAAAACTGAAATATAAACAGTAAAGAAAACACAAACTGAAGGATTTATAGAAACAGAAATCATGAGAAAAAGATCAGGAACCATAAACACAGGCATGAACAGCAGAATACAAGAGATGGAAGAGAGAATCTCAAGCACTGAAGATAAGAGGAAATAGACTCATCAGTTAAAGATCTTCACTAACTCCATCATCACACAGAGGTCTGATCTTCAAAATATACAAAGAACTCAAGGAATTGGACACCAAAAGAACACATAATCCAATTTAAAAAATGGAGTACAGGCCTAAACAGAGAACTCTCAACAGAAGAATCTAAAATGGCTGAAAGACACTTAAAGGAAATGTTCAGCATCCTTAGCCATCAGAGAAATGCAAATCAAAACAACTCTGAGATTCCATCTTACACCTGTAAGAATGGCCAAGATCAAAAACACTGATGACAGGCCAGGCAGTGGTGGCGCACGCCTTTAATCCCAGCACTTGGGAGGCAGAGGCAGGCAGATCTTTATGAGTTTGAGACCAGCCTGGTCTACAAGAACTAGTTCCAAGACGGGCTCCAAAGCTACAGAGAAACCCTGTCTCGAAAAACCAAAAAAAAAACAAAACAACAACAACAACAAAAAAAACCCACTAATGACAACTTATGCTGGAGAGGTCGTGAGGAAAAGGGAACACTTCTGCATTGCTGGTGGGAACACAAGCTGGCACAACCTCTTTGGATGTCAGTGTGGCCATTTCTCAGAAAATTTAGGAAACAACCTTCCTCAAGACCCAGTAATACCACTTTTGGGTATATATCCAAAGGATGCTCAATCGTGCCACAAGGACACATGCTCAACTATGTTCATAGCAGCTTTGTTTGTCATAGCCAGAACCTGGAAACAGCCTAAATGCCCCTCGACCAAAGAATGGATAAGGAAAATGTGATACATTTACACAATGGAGTACTACACAGCAGATAAAATAACAACATCTTGAATTTTGCAGGCAAATGGATGGAGCTAGAAAACATTATTTTGAGTGATGTAACCCAGACACAGAAAGACAATTATCACATGTACTCATTCATAGGTGATTCTTAAACATAAAGCAAAGAAAGCCAGCCTACATACCACAATCCCAGAGAACTCAGACAACAATGAAGACACTAAGAGAGACTTATATAGATCTAATCTACATGGGAAGTAGAAAGTAGATAAAGACAAGATCTCCTGAGTAAACTGGTAGAATGGGGACCTTGCGTGTGGGTTGAAAGGGGAAGGGGAGAGGCAGGGAGGAGAGCAAAGAAAAATGTAGAACTCAATAAATATCGATTAAAAAAAGACTGAATGAAGGGAAACAATGTAGGGGCTAAAAGAGAATATATAAAATACTTATGAAACCCAACATGAGGTATAGTGAATTCACACTAGTAAGATACTTTTAGAGTCAACGTACTTACATGAATGTAGGAGGCCACAAGTGTGGAGGCCCAAAAATGTGAGCCTATTTCCATCCTGACAGATGGTCAGGATATGCAAGCATACTTCTGTTTCTTCTTCTGTAATATGAGGTTACCTGGGGGAAGGGTTGCCTTCAGGACACTTGGTCTAGAGTAGTTTCTCAGCCTAAACAACAGAATGCTAAGGACTTGATGTCTCAAAGTGTTAAAGCAAGTAACTGATGGAGTTGTCCTTTGTATTATGTTAAAGAAGTGTTTTGTTGTCTTCTTCCCTCTTTCGTATTGGGGTACAAAAGTGTATGGAAAATCAAATGCAGGCCATCTCTCTGGAGTGGGATGGGCAACATACAGACAGACAGACACAATAAACATACACACAGAGAGACTGTCTTAGTTATATTATAGGGTTTCATCAGTGCTGCAATGAGACACCATACCCAAAGCAACTTTGGAAGGAAGGGTATTTTCAGCTTATGTTTCCACATCACTATGCATCATCAAAGGAAATCAGGACAGGAACTCAAGCAGGGCAAGAACCTGGAGGCAGGAGCTGATGCAGAGGTCATGGAGGAGTGCTGCTTACTAGCTTTCTCCCCATGGTTTGCTCAGCCTGCTTTTTTATAGAACCCAGGACAACAGTCCATGGATGCCCTCATCCACAATGGGCTGAGCTCTCCCACTTAAATCACTAATTAAGAAAATGTCCTACAGGCTTGCCTACAGTTCTATCTTATGGAGACATTTTCTCAATTAAGGTTCTCATCACCTCTCAAATGACTCTTGCTTGTGTCAGGCTGGCATGAAACTATGCAGCACAGAGACAGACACAGAGAAACCGAGACTGGGAGAGATTCTGATTTATTTTTATATATGGATGTTTTGCCTGCATGTTCGTCTATGCATCATGTCGTGTCTGGTACCCACAAAGGCCAGGAGAGGACATCAGATTCTTTAGAACTGTAGTTACAATGCTTGTGAGCCTCCATGTAGGAACTGGGAACAGAACCTGGATCCCTACAG